AAAAAATCCAGTCACAGGGAACTAAAACAACTCCATATCCATTGTCTCTGAATCCTTGCTTGTGTAAGCTAAGGACCACACATGGAAGTTTGAGCTAGTCTCGTGGGTGTGATTCCTTTGTCTTACAACTATTTTACAAGTACACAATCTCCAACATCAATTTAAAAATTGGAATGGTTTTTAAATCCTATTCATTTGGTTGAGTGAAAAGGCCCGATTAAAAGAACACCTATCAAATGATTCTATTTATATAAAAATCCTAGCAGATTGGTATTAATGGTTGCTTGGGGACTAAAGTAGTGAAATATGAGGAAGCTGTAGGCCGGGAAAAGAGGGAGAAAGTATAAAATAATTTGGTTTTCCTGGTGACAACGATCTCACAGATACACTTACCAAACTGTGTGCTTTAAATGCCTTAGTCACATACAATATTTTTAACATCTATTTCCTTGTGATGAGAAAGGACACACTTTCGCTATTGTATGTCTGGATGCATTTCAACATGATGGTGTACATACATGCCCCACAAGAACAGGCAGCTACCCACTTTTGTTGGAAAACTTTCAGTTCATCAAATTCTCTAGGGGAAAAAAATCTAGTTGTTTTACTTTTCGTAAAAGAACTTTAGTTCAATTCTCAGCACTGACACCAGTCAGTTCACAAACTGCCTGTAACTCCAGGCGATCTGACACCTCTCAGACCTCGTCTTACATACACACACACACACCACGCACACTCTGGGTCATGGAAGCAGACGGGGGGGGGGGGGGGTGTAAAAGGACTTGCTGCATAAGCCTGACAACCTGAGTTCAATCCTTGGATCCCACATAAAGGTGAAAGAACTCCACAAAGTTGTCAGATAAAAGCTGACACACTAGCGAATACACAGCGTGTCCTGCTTTCAGTGGTTTCTTCGAATGGAATACTGGACCTATCCTTTAAAACTGAGCGAGGAAGTGTGAATAAATGGTTTGGGAGACAATGAAAATTGAGTTCCGTCCTGATTAGCCAATAGTGGGCCTTTATATTGGGGTAACTTAAGTTTTTGATCATTTTTATACCTCAAAACAAAGTCCAGGAAATAACTGAAATGTAAGTGATGGCATGTGTAAGGCTATTTCTTAACTTTTTCAATTGTATGAGAATGAAAAATAAAATCTCTTTATCCTCTCTTTATCTTATCTTATTTCAGAAAACTTTAAAGGGATGCAAGATAATTTAAAAAAAAAAAAAAAAAAGGGTTGGGGCATGGAAAGCCAGAGTAAAATGGGGTAGAAATTAGAACACAAGAAGAATGCAGACAATATTAAGCATACCTGTCTTGAGGTGGCTTACAGAGTGTAAGTTCTAGAACTGGGAATTCTCAAGTTCAGAATTCAAGGAACAAGTAGAAAAAGCTGAGGAGAGCTGAGGAGGGCAGGTGATGCAAAACTCTGGAGAATGGGATGGCCAGCAACAGGGAAGGCCCATGAAGCTGGAAAACTCAGTGTTTTCCTGGCAATCAATGTAGGTGCAGTTTTCTCCAGCAACACTAGACAACCAAAGATACAGAAGTCTCTGAAGGAAATGCAGAAAGTGACCAGGGACTGGACAAACTGCAGCTAGAGAAGGCTGCTCTACCAATTAAGTTTCCAATGATGAAAAGGAAAAAATCCATTTCTGCAAGGAAAATTGTCATAATTCTTATCTCTATAAAAACAAACCAAAAAAGCTTTTCATTTGTGTCTCCCTTTAATCTTGTTCATAAGAAAGGAATTCATACATTTGTCTCAGGCACTGTGTTGGTGCCTCTGCAGTCTCCTGGCTCCTCCAAACGGTTTTATTAACTCCTGTTGTCTGTGACCATTTCCTTAGCACCAGCGTATGTTAACCCCGTCGTTTACTAACCTACCAGATTGTTAACCAAGTCAACATCTTTCTGTTAACCAAGTCAACATCTTTCTGATCAGGTTTCTCATTTCTTTTGGGTGAGATGTTGCCTTTTTTTAAGGTTTCATTAACAAGAAGAGAAATGAATCCAAGAATTCTGTTCCATCCATTCTAATTCAAATGTAATGGGTCCTTACACGACCCACTTTCTGCCCCATTATCACTGCCATACTCCACCCCTCCCTCCCCTCTTTCAAAGCTGAGGCCTTGAACTTCTGCTTGACTTTGTGACCAGTTTAGCAGAGCATCTCTGACACCACCCCTGTTCTGCAGTGACCTTGGATGTCTTCTCCAGCAGCTCTTGTTTCTAACGACTGACAAAGGTTGGTCAGTATTTGCTTTTCTCTCACCGCACACCGACCGCATCAAGTACATAAAGGGATCCTAACTGGTCTTCTGCCTGCATTTGGGAGCTTCTCACTCAGGTGCTTACAACTTACTGCACGCCTGCTCTGTGCCAGGAATGCGTGCTAAGGCTGTGTCTTCCCACCTCCAGAAAGAGATGAGTACCAAGCACACACACGACTGTGTACAACTGAGAGGGAAAGTCAGAATGAGCCAGATCCAAAATCTCACCTCAAATACCGACAGTTTAACTCAGTCCTTGATTTTTTCCAGTCCCAAAGACCTGCTGATAACAACGGACCCACTGGGATCTTTATTTAGCATATGTGTTCTTGTGAAGATAGAACTGTGTTAAATGAATGTATTCATTGATTTCTAAATAGTTTGTACAAAGGTCCAAGAGGCAGCTTCCCCAACCCTTAAGGCCATGGTTTGGGAGACCCACTCCCTCACACAGGAATGTCACTCTGTCCTTCCATGCTTTTATTGATATCAGCAGTGGACAAAAATACCCCAACCCAAGAGCTAGGGTATCAGGCAGACCCTTCAGGGCCATTGGCACCTCTAGATCCTGTCTACCCCGGCCATGTCCCTGAATGGGCATGTCCCCGTCTGTCCTGTTTATATGTGTGGATCAGTCTGTCTGAGTGCCTGAGTCTCTGCCTACATGCCCCCCCGATCCTTGGTATATGGTAGGGGTTGTTGGGAACACAACGTGGCTTGCCCCGGTGGACCACGGGGCCCCGGTGTTGACCATGGGAGACAGGGCCAGAGACTGACGGTGGCAGGGGACCAGGCACAAAGTTCACTCCAGGGCCACATCCTACAAGAGAAGCAGTCATCATCAGAGTAAGTTTCTGACCAGGTAGCTCTGCTCCTCTGGGGTAAGTCTCTCTGTGCTTTCATTTCCCATCTGCAGAATGGAGATTCTACTTCCCTCACCCCAGACCAGGAACCGTGAGCAGATGAATAAGTTTACCGATGCTGTTCCAATCTGAGGGACTAATGTGACTAAACCCAACTCCCAAGCTCATGTCAACACAGGTGGCTAGGTAGGAGAATGTGCACAGGAGGCTGGGGAGGGTGGGAGCAGAGGCTGCAGAGGCACCTACCTAAGTTAGATGACACCGAGAAGTCCTCCATTGCATTGTGTTTGAAGAATTCATAGCGTCGAAAGGGCTGGCCTTGGGAAAAGGGGGCATCCTGGTGCAGGGGCGGGAACAAGGGAGGTGGTGAGGGCTGAAGACGTGGATAAGGAAAAGACATGGGACGAGGCAAATGGAAAGGTGGGAGGAGGGGCAAGGCCAGCTTCTCCCTGAAGTCTGGGGGCTGCTTATGGCTTCCCTGGGATGGATGAGCCATCTCTGGCCAGTCCTCAATCCATGTGTCTAGGAATGGAATGATTGTGTTAAGTAGGCCTGGGAAGTCAGGCTGCCCCAAATGCTACCTATCTACACTTCCAGAGCTCTACTGCACCCTCTTGGGGAATAAGGCCAGCAGCCCTCCTCATTCCCCTTCACTTCAAGCCAAGACCAAGTTGTGTTCCTTTTTTCTTGCTGCTCATGATTGCCTGTGTTCTGAGTTCATGCCTGCTCCTGCCCAGTGCCTGTATCTTTAGCTTTTTCTTCTTCCCGAGTCCTCACAGGCCAATAAATTAGTCAAATATGAAGATCCAGCTCCCTCTCCCAACTAGTCTTCATCTGCTTCTAAACCCTCCCAGGGAGGATTCTACCCTGTTTTTTATCCTTCATCAACTGAGCATTGCCTCTTTTGAACACTTCATGCCTTCGATGTTTTTCCTACTAAATGGAACAGCCTGACAAACCTACCAAACCTCTTCTTTCCAACAGTCCAGTCACATGACATCAACAACACACCCTGTCCTGAAAGCACCTCTCCATTCTCAACTACTTTTGTTTCCCCATCAATCTGCTCTCTGCAATCCGAGGTGTGAGCACTGATCTGCTGTCTCCTTCCCAGTTCACACTCATATACCTCTGCTGGGTACAGATGACTCCAAGTCTCTCCACAACATGTCAAACAGATCTGCCCTAATCAAACCCACTTGCTCATCTCCCCACTTCAAATCAAGTCTTTCTTTTAACAACCTTCATTTCCTTTTCACCCCTTGAGACAAGGTCTCATATCTTCCAGGTTGGCCTTAAACTCAAGCTAAGGATGAGCTTGAACTTCTGAATCTCCTGCTTCCTTTTCCCAAGTGCTAAAATTACAAGCAGGCCCCACACGCCTGGCTGTATGTGGTGCCAGAGATTGAACCCACAGCTTCATGCATGCATCAACGTCTAGCACTCTACCAGCTGAGCCACATTTCCAGCTGTTTCCATAGTTCTTAGACGGAATCAAAAGCTGTGAAGCACCACAAACCAGTCTTTCAACCTTTAAAACATTCCTTTATTTACTGAGGACCAATTCTCTCATTAAGCAAAACAAAGGAAATGGAACCAGTACATAATCCACCCGAATCCATCCTAAAGCCTCAGCTCCTAGCTTCTAGGCCCTAGTGGTCTGCCTCTATCCCTTGCCTGTGAGGTCCCCCACAGCTTCTATTGCTGCCACAAACAGCATCTGAGATGACTCAGGCCTCCAATTCGACAAACACTGCACTCTTGGCACTGAAACACAGCACATCTGTCCTGGACTGGGCTGGAGGGGATGAACTATCAACAAGTGACCTGATGCAGGGGAGAAGCAGATGTAGAAATAAGCTCGGATGTTTTTCTTTGCAGGTAGCCAGGGACTGAGAGACTAACAAGCAAACATAAGATTTGTAGCAGAGAACATCTCAGCAGGAATGCAATTCGAGTAGTGTCGTTCCCAAAACAAGCTAAAGGAGTGGCACTCTTGGCACCTGCCACAGTTTGACTAGAATGGGGCCAGTGGAGGACTGCACTAGGCTGGATCCAGTGAGACTGGGAGCCTAAGCAGAGTTGGGGAGCCCACGAGCTGATGTCTACTACCCCTATCACCCTGAGACCGACTTGCAGAGACACTGTAGTTTACATCGTCTCTCGACAACAACCTGCTACCTGGCTGAACCTTTCACTTCTCCAGCTAATAAGCTCTCTTGCCTCTGCCACACTGCTTGGACTGCTCTTCTTCCATATCTGTCGTCCCACTTCCTATACCTGAGACTACCTAGAAGTATTCTCATTTCTTTCCCATTCCTCTGTTGAGTAGGGGCTGCCTTTTGCAATCAGTACTTGAACATTTTCATTCAAGTACGCAGAAGGAATCATAAAGCTGAAGAACTGGGAGTCGGGCAGGCATGGGACTCCTGTGATCTACCCATTTCCAGGAAATGAGAAAGAAACACTCAGGAGCCACAACTGTTTTTCAAGCGATCATCTACTTTCTACCAGTACCTCTGTTGCATTTGGCTCTTTGTGCCTTGTGTGCTAAAGGTCCTGTCTACATCACTACCCACCCACTCTGTGGCAGGTCTTACCTGGGAGAGGGTCATGTTTGGGTAGCTCCACACCCCAGGCATCAGCCACATGGCTCAGAAGTAAGTGTGAGAGGTGGCGGTGTGCGTGCTGGTCCCAATGGACACCATCTCGATGACGATGATGTACAGCATGCCGGAAATGAAAGTGGAGATCTAGGACGTCGAAACAGTGGTTCCCAGCTAGTGTAGCACTGTAGAAGTTCCCCTCAACAACATCCTGTCGCAGAGAGACTGCCAGGGGCTGCAGCTAATTGAGAAAGTGGAGCCTCTAAGATGGTGGCCTATCTACCAGCCAGCCACTCTATCCCCTGTCCAGAAGGGCCCCTCACTCACCTCTGGCAAGAGGAAACCCCCAGTGACACGTTCCCCCAAAGGCATTGCCATGTTCCACACCAGCAGACAAGAGTCTGGCAAAACCTGGTCCATTCGTACAAACACTCGTTCCAAGTTCTTCCTGTAGCTCTCCATTGGGCAGCGGCCATATCTGTTGGGTGACACTTAGGGTGGGCATGGGCACAGGAATGGCGCCATACCTCCACCTCCAACCAGTATCTCCCTTCCCCCCGTCCTGAACCTGGAGAGATCCCAGAGGCAGGAGTTGATGATCACTAGGTCAGGGGCAGGTCCATACGACAGCTCCTCCAGGACGTCCTCAAGGTACTCGGAGTAAACACGGGTGAGGAAGTAGAAGCGCACAAGGTGGTGGCCAGAGCCAGAGCAGAACTGGCGGACCTCTCGGTACTGTGTCCCGTTGTGTAGCTCGCCCAGCTGGCCCCCAGCCACCAGCTGATCCTGTTCAAAGCTCAGCTCCCCCTACCCACCCACCCCCACCCCGATGGTCAGATCCATGCCAGGCAGGTGGTCTTTTTTCAGGCCAGGGTCTGCACCCACCCAACACTGGCATGACTGCCAAGCTTCTCTCACCTTGGCTTTTAACTGGGAAGCTGTGAGCAGTGTGTCTTTCTGGAGCAGAAGCACCAGGTCCTTATACACAGCTCTCTGGACTGCAGGGAGACAGGGGTCCTAAGGTTAAAGCAGGCCTCACTCGGTCTCAGAGCCTCCCAAATGAAGGCCTTTGGTCTCCCAGGGTTTGGCTGCCCAACAGCAGCTCTATGGAGGGTTGACTTAAAGAAGAAAAGATGAGGTTTAAAAACCCAGGCTGGGTTCTTTCTAGTCATATGCCTCTCCTCTAACTCATGTATAGTGACCCAAGACCAACTAACTGGCCCTGTCACCAGGGAAACACACAACATAACCCACAGCTCCTTTTAAAAAAAAAATCATGGATGGCTACAAGAGACAAAGAAGCAAAAGCATGGGCTAAAATGGTGTACAAATGATACGCCAGGACACCCGTGGAAGGTATGTACGGGGAAAAACAGTTTAGTGGTCTAAGACAGAGTAAAAGATGGAGAAGAAAACTGAAATGGAGATACGGGGTGCAGACATAAAGAAAAGGCTGCAGATACAGGGCTGTGAAATGTCATCCTAGAGTGGTCACTCACTGGAGTCCCCCAAAATGACCACGAACTTGTTGTGTAGCAGCTGCTGGACTTCAGAGGCTTGGAAATGGACCATGGTGCTTCGCAGCAGACGGTGTGGCATCTCGTTTTCCAAACAGAAGACCATGCTGCCACTGACACGGGCTGCAGGGAGAGGCCACTAAGCTGACAGAGAGCAGGGACTCAAGGACGATCAGTCTGTCCCAAGATGACAGATGCGCACAGGCCCCTCCCTGGCTGCTCTGAGTAATAGGGAGGAGGGTGGGGCCGCATGGCACATCCCGTGATAGCACCAGCCTTCATCACACTTGGAAGGAAGGCGGAGGGTCGCTTAGGCTGAGGGCCTGCCTATTCTATGGCGCTTCGCGCGCGCAGCGACTCCCTTGCTCCCAGCCACGTGTCAGCGGAGGCCGCGCGTGTGCGCACACGTCCGCTCGCGCCAGTTACCAAGTCTCCTGGCTCCAGGGATTCACCGGCCAGTAGGGCAGGCCCGGGTGCCGGGCGCCTTGCCCACAGCGGGCTCCTGATCTAGAGTCATGTTCCCGCGCCCCTGGAGGGCGGTAGGTTCTGCAAAGACCCCGCCCCACAGAGCCCGGGTGCCCAGGTTAGCTGTCGGTGCGCAGCTCGACGCCCAGTGCTCTCCATGCGTGCGTCGCGGTGGTGCGGCCAGCGACTCCAGCATCTGAGCTCCAGGAGGAGAGGCTCATGGCTCCCACTTCCGGTCACTCATGTCCATCCCTGCGCGACCCCCAACGTCGGAAGGGTCAGAAAGACAGCGACGCTGGCCGCCGTGAAGGATAGGAATCAGGGCTAGGCCCACCCGGGCGGGCGCGAAGCCCGGGTAAGAGCGGAGGGCAGAAGGATAGCTCAGTGCGGTTTGCCCACAGTGCTGATGGCCGCTATGGCGGCCTCGCCACGTGACCCCGACGGGCGGAAGCGGAAGTGCGGCCTGGAGCTTGCGCCAGGCTGGTGTTTTCCCGGCGCCTGCAGCCGTCAGCTGTACCAGACATGGACTGTTACACTGCGAATTGGAATCCACTCGGGGACTCTGCCTTTTACCGGTGAGCCGCCCGCCGCCCCACCTTCTCGCCCAGCGCCTAGCTTACCGTGCTCGTTTGCTGGCTTGAGCCTCCCCCGGCGGAGCCAGCGGCGCTCGCCACCCCCTGCGTCACGGGTGCTGGCGTCCGCCCCTCGGGCGGCTCGCCCCAGCGTCGGCCACTTTATGCACGGTTGCCTAGGGGCAGCAATCTTTCCTTCCTCTGCTCCAACGGAGGCAAGCTCAGAAGGCACCCCAATACCGAGGCCTGTCGGCCTCCGGAAGGATGCTCAGATCACATTGAGGAAGGCCGCCCGTGGCGACAGCGAGTGCCAGTCTCCTTCCGGAAACTGCTGCTGAAGTCAGACCACAGGGGCTCTCAGAGGAGGGCGGGATCGCCACAGCGGGCGGGGTGACAGTACTGACCAAAGCTGAGAGAGGGGGGTGAATAGCCATTCAGCTTTGGGGCACTATTAATGAAGAACCCTAGGCACTGGCAACTCACCGAAGTTGGAGAGCCCTGAGCAGTGGGTCTTTCTCAAGTCTAAACTAGTAATATGATTACAGTGGTTAGCGTCTCGCTGACTTACTTTCTTAAGAGAAAGTGCAAACTGCTTGTGGAACACACATCAATTGGCCAGCCTCTATTTTGTCTCCTTGAGCGGCTTCCGATTTGATCTCAGCCATCCTCTAATCGTGTTCTAGCCGCACAGAATTGCAGGCTCATCGCGTCATGCAATTTCATGGCTTTGTGTGTTTTCACAGCCCTACCGTCTCTTTTGTGGGCATTGCTATTTCCCTCTTTATCACACTGAAGAATTATTGCCCATGTTTCAGGACCTCCCTGATCTTCTTACAGTAGAATTTTTTTTTTTTCCTTTCAGAGTTCAGTTGTAGAGTCTTATTATAGGTAACAAATGAAGGCAATATTTGTATAGGTTTCTTCTGCTGAGCTCCTCGAAGGCTAAGAATGTCTCTTTTATTTCCCGTGCATATTTAAACCAGTGCCTGTTACCTAATAGTTGTCCAACCTGTGGTGTCCCATGACTCTAATTCCAGCACTCTGGAGACAGAGGCTGGCTCATCTCTGTGAGATCCAGGCCAGCCTGGTCTACATAGTCAGTTCAGGCCAGGCAGGGAAACATAGTAAGACCCTGTCTCAAAACAACAACACAGAAACAAACAAAAGCTAATAGTTGCCCAACTAGTTGCAAAATTGCAAAGAATGTTTTATTGATGCACCTGTAGATCACAGAGACATTGCATTGGTGTCTTATTTCAGTAGAAGACTTTACTTCCACGAGTGAAACAATTTACCATTCGCATAGCCAGACTTTGAAATGAAATTTTGTTGTTCACAATGTGATGCATTTCCTAGACAAAGGATGCCTTGTGATAATTTTTAGAGATATGTTGCATTTGCTTATTCATAATTCCTCTTAGACACGTGTACAATATGAAAAATGAAAAAATGAAACACTTAGTTGACATCAACAGGAACTATTAATGATTTCACCCATTGAAAATACTACTGGACAGGAGGATCATGATTAGTAACTGATCAGTTTATACTTTATCTTAGAAAGAAACAGTTTGTACTTTGTTTTAGAAAGTCAACGAGACGCTAACCACTGTAATCACATTACTATATACACTATATATGTATACAGCCAAGCCAACTTTGGTTATATACATACATTGGAGGCAAAAAGAGACTCTGTCCCAAAATACATATTTAAAATAAAAAATAATAAAAATAAAATATTAACTATTATTTTTAAAGTACTTTTAAATCAGAGCATAGAAGACAATGACCTCATTACAACAGAGCTCCTCCTGTTTATTGTACGAAATCTTAGCTTCATGGATGCATAAAATTTCAAAAGATATGAGTGTGGGCATGTGTCATAGAAGTGGCTAATTTCCCATTACCTGTGTTGAACTCAGAAATGATTAGACGTGTTAACCCTGCTGGAGATTATATATATGTCCTAAGTTGCTAACACATAAGACTTTCTTAAACTGGACACTATGCTAAGCACTCTATGTGTAGTTTCTTAAGTATCCCACCTCATGGAATCAGGATCATGATTTGCTCCAACTTACTGATGAGGAAGCTGAGGGACAGAGAGTCCAGGTTAAGTAATTAAGTGGTTCTGTAAAGTGGTAGCACATACCTTTAATCCTAGCAGAGGCAAATGGATCTCTGAGTTTGAGGCTAGCCTAGTCTACAGAGTGAGTGAGTTCCAGGGCAGCCAGGGCTACACAGAGAAACCCTGTCTTGAAAAACCTCCCTCCCCCTACCCCCCCCCCCAAAAAAAAACAATAGAATGTGGTAGACTCTAAATGCCAAAACATAGAATTTTTTATTTTATATTTGGAGTCTGTGTGTGTGTGTGTCTGTGTGTGTGTGTGTGTGTGTCTGTGTGTGTGTGTGTGTGTCTGTGTGTGTGTGTGTTTTGTGTGCACCACGGCACATGTGTAGAAGTCAGAGGACTTCTTGTAGGAGGAGTTGGTTCTCCCCTTCCCACCACATGGGATCTGGGGATTGAACACAGGTTATCAGGCTGGCAGCAAGTGCCTTCACAAAGCTGAGCCCTCTTGAAGCAAATTTTTTTAAGACAGAAAAATGCAAAAGCATTTTCTAGTTTATTCACCAATGTGAAAGTGTTTTAAGAATAGGTGCTTGGTTTCATTCATATCCTCGGATAGGACTTAGTCTGTGATCCTGAATAGTGGATGAATGGTGAAAAAGTAGACTCTTCACTTGAGTCCCATCTGTAGGGCAGGAGTCTTTGCATTGGATTGGTTTTCTCAAGAACTTGCTGGATTTGAAAAGGTGAGGAGAGGAAGTAGTGACCATCTCTTACCGGGTTCTAGAGATTTAGCCATTTTAATCCTAAAACTGCAACTTGAGCTGATTCCATTCATTAATGTGATCCCACCTTTGCCAGACTCGGTATGTGTCGGTAAGTTGAGTCAGACATAGAGTGCCTTTGACGTTCATAACGCTTACAGCCAGCACATGACATGGAGGATAAGGACTCAACCTTTGATCATGGTTACTACGGGGAATACTGAACTTGGGGGTGAGAGGAAGCAAGGAATCGAGGATGACGTGGGTTCTCAGCTTAAAATCATGAAAAGGGAAAAGTGGATTTGGCAGAGAAGAGGATGGACTTGTTTTGTATGTGTGGTGTATTTTGTGTTTGTGGTATATGTAGGTACACATGCTCTTGCAGAAGGGGGAGGGTTGGTGTTGCTCCTCAGGAGCCATTCACTCTGTTTTTGAAAAACAAGTCTCTCACTGGACCTAGGACTTGCTGATTAGGCTGGGCATTCCCCAGGGATCCACCTGTCTCCACCTTCCCAGCACCATAACCACAAGCATGTACCACCATGCCTGGATTTTTATGTGGGTGCTGGGGATCAAACTCAAGGTCTCATACTTGTGCGGCAAGCACTTTAGTGAATGAGTTGGCTGTCTCCGCAGCCCCTGAACTTGGTTTTGAACACACTGAGTTTCAGGCACTTTAGAAACTTTAGTTTCATTTGTAAAAGGAAGAAGAGTGATGATACATTTTATATAACCCTGAATAATTTATTCTTATAGAGTTGTTTTTCCTTTCTTTGTTATTCTCCCTCTCTTGATACTGGGTAGTCCCGTTATTTTTAAAAGGGAAGGAGATTATTATTATTATTATTATTATTTAGATTTATTTATTTTATGTATGAGTGTTCTATCGTCATATATGTATGCCTGCATGCCAGAAGAGGGTATCTGATGCCATTATGAATGGTTGTGAGCCACCATGTGATTGGTGGGAATTGAACTCAGGACCTCTAAAGAGCAGCCAGTGCTCTTAACCACTGAGCCATCTCTCCAGCCCCAGGAGATTATTTTAGTATTGTAGTTGTAGTTATATTTTGAATAAGCATAAATATTTATTTAAAGCATCGTTAAATACATATAACAAAATGTGTCATCTTAACTTTTCTGTGTGTTTTGCCTTGTTTTTAGGGAAAATATCACTACTTACTTTTTTTTATCTTTTTGTGCATGAGTGTTTGTCTAGATGTATGCCTGTGTACCTCATGTGTGCATTACCCAC